TGAAGGCAGACGTGGGTTTGCCTGTGGAGATGAAACTCCTATTCTGAAATGCCTGGTGAAAGATGGGGAGGGGGAAGAGGCTGTGTAACCCACGGGGCCAGGTAGATAATGTGCCCCCCCTTTTTTACCCTGGGGATAACTAAAGTCTTATAAATAAGTAAGTATATAAATAATTTTCACATAAGTTATGCTGACAAATTTTATTTCAAGGTTTGAACCGTATCTGCATATAAAGACAAAATGGAAAATATAGATATACAGTGGTACCTCGGGTTACATACACTTCAGGTTACACACTCCGCTAACCTAGAAATAGTGCTTCAGGTTAAGAATTTTGCTTCAGGATGAGAACAGAAATCGTGCTGCAATGGTGCGGCAGCAGCAGGAGGCCCCATTAGCTAAAGTGGTGCTTCAGGTTAAGAACAGTTTCAGGTGAAGTACGGACCTCCGGAACGAATTAAGCACCGTATTTTATGCTCTATAAGACTCACTTTTTTTATAAAAAAAATGATATTTATTGAAAAAATAATAATTTTTTTTTTAAAGTTACAAAAGAAAAACAAAGTAGAAAAAGAGAAAAACAAACCAGTTCCAACCATACATATACAAATTCAAAATAAGGAAGAAGAAAACAAAAATACACCACAAACATTTAAAAACATTTAAAAACAAATCCATTATTCTCAACTCCTCAACTGTCATTACCCTCTTTCCTTGACCTCCTCCTCCTCCCCTTCCTTGTATCCTGTTTGTTAATTGTCACAGCAAATCCTTTCCATATTTCATAATATTCTGTCGTTACATTACCTTAAACTATTTTAATCTTACTATAAAAAAAAACCTTGAGACTTAAAACTTAAATCTTATTTTTACCAACTTCTCATAACCATAATATTCTTGCATAATTCTTTAAACATTTTTACTAAAGCCAAGTAATTTCATTCCAACATTTTTCTAACATTCATCAATTTTATAAAACAGTCCTAGTAGTGAAAAAAGAAATAAAAACAAATCCAATCTTCATCCAGCGTCCCTTCCTCCTGGTCCCGGGTTTTGTCAGTCCTTATTATCCCATCAATCTGGCGCATTAACCTGGTAATCTTATATCCGAGGCCCTTAAGTCCCTTCCATGTCCCTTCCGCAGCTCTTCTTCATATTTATAGCTGTATTTTCCTTTGTCTCCTGCTCCTTTCACTCGTGGGAACTCCAACTTAGCAGTATTTTTGACCCTTCTCGACAGATCAGCCCCTTTTCCATATAAGACTCACTTTTTCCCTCCTAAAAAGTAAGGGGAAATGTGCCTGCATCTTATGGAGCGAATGCAGGCTGCGCAGCTATCCCAGAAGCCAGAACAGCAAGAGGGATTGCTGCTTTCACTGCACAGCGATCCCTCTTGCTGTTCTGGCTTCTGAGATTCAGAATATTTTTTTTCTTGTTTTCCTCCTCCAAAAACTAGCTTTCTTTTCGGCGAATTCTTGAATTACGCAGGAAAAATCAAGCAACTTCACCTTGTGGTGGTTTATGTTTATCAATGCTAAACCATTTAGGCGTTCTTGAGCCATTGTTGATCAAAAGAAAGACTTAATTCATTTTAATATATTGAAACTTCTCCAGGTGGTACATGACACCAGTCAAGCTTGCAAAAATCTATCATTTGCCCGATAATAAATGTTGGAAATGTAAAGAAACTGAAGGTACATTCTTTCACCTTTGGTGGACGTGCCCAAGGATTAAGGCTTTCTGGGAGATGATTTATAATGAAATGAAAAGGGTATTTAAATATACCTTTCTGAAGAAACCAGAGGCCTTTCTCCTGGGCATGGTCGGCCAAATGGTGCCAAAGAAGGACAGAACTTTCTTTATGTATGCTACAACAGCAGCAAGAATACTTATTGCAAAGTATTGGAAGACACAAGATCTACCCACTCTGGAAGAATGGCAGATGAAGGTGATGGACTACATGGAATTGGTGGAAATGACTGGCAGAATCCGAGACCAGGGAGAAGAGTTGGTGGAAGAAGATTGGAAGAAATTTAAAGACTATTTACAGAAATACTGCAAAATTAATGAATGTTAGAATGATGTCGGAATGAAGTTAAGTGGTTTAAGCAGCAATGTTATAAAGGTGTATGTAAAAATGGATTGTTAACAGGTGAGAATCCAAAGTTATAATATATTAAGTTAAAGGGTTAAGTTAAAAACAAAGAGGGAAAGAAATTGCTGAATTAACTAACTGAATTGGAATACAAAAAAGGGAGGTGCGAGGAGGTCAGGGAAGCAAGGAAATGAATGTAAGGTATGGAAAGATTGATGTGTTGTTTTTTTAAAAGTGTTTTTTACCTTTTTTCTGTATTTTGTATTTTTCTTGTATTTTTATTTTTGTCTTTTTTCTTTTCTTTTTTTATTTATGTAACTTCTTTCTTTGAAACCTTAATAAATATCTTTTTTTTTTTAAAAAAAGAAACTTCTCTCATTGGAGGCCACTGTAGCTGACCGAGGCCCCCTTTGGAATCGGAGGGCCGGGCCAAGTGGCCCATATGGACCCCCCCACTGTCTGGGCCTGGGGAGGGGAGGGGAGGGGCTCTTGCTAATGCTGCTCCCAATAGGATTCGATCTTAGGAATTTGAGATGTGGAAGGAATGTGTTGCAAAGTGCTGGGGGCGGGGACCAGTAAAAAAGTGGTGGAACAATTGAGGGTACCCCTACCTCAGGTGGCCCTCCAACCTCTCCATCAGGCCCCTGGGACTCTCCCCAGGCCTCACCCCTTCCCTGACTCCCTCTTTGTGCGTGTTACGGAAAAATCTAGGTGTGAGGCTGCTCAGTCACCCAGCTCTGATCCCTGCGGAATAAAGGAGTCCAGCCACCAACCGGAGCAAATTGCTGAAGATCCGAGTTCATTGAGCAACAGGTTCAAAGAGGAATTTTTGAACCCCGAGGATGGGGTGACAAGGACTTTTAAAACTTTCCCACCATATCCCAGAATACAGTTCGCACAGCATCATTGCTACATCACTGACATGTCACAAAAGGGGAGGGTTACACATGATTAGCATAGACAGATGTGTCAGGGCAACACACAAGTATAAGATTAGCAGATGCAAATATGTCTTAAGTACCCACCACCCAAAAGTACAATATAACTTTTTTTGCATGTCTGGAGCCTGAGGCAAGTCAGGTGATGAGATTTGGCTTCCCTTGGCTAACAATGAGCCCAGCAATTGTCACCTCTGGGAACTTCCTGGAGTCCTTTTTCAAGGGGAAAATACCGGTAGCTTTGGAATGGAGGAAACTGGCAAAGGAGTTGATTTTATATTATTTTTAAAGCTAATGTACGGTAACTTCCCTGAGCTGTCAAGTTGAAAGGGTACATTCAGGCATAATATTTGTAACATTTAACAACTTTAAAGATGTGTCTGTCCCGTCCCCCCACCGTAATTTCCGTAACAGGTATAAATAGTAAAATTATCGTTATGGAATGGGACGTCCCTGCTTTCATTGGAGAAATGTTGGAGGGTATGAGATAAGGAGTCACACAAATTTTTCTGCCCCTTGTTAACTCTGTCCATGAACCCTGAACCCTGAACCCTGTTCCTCATCTCCTCTCTACCGGGTCCCTGGTCATCAGAGAAACTGAAAAAATCTCTGGCCCTGGGACTGTGGTTTTTATAGTATCTCAGTCATGTAGTTTACTAATTTTTCTCTTTATAAAACACCAGTTAAAGGGTTCCATCTCAGCAGCTGGGTCGAAGATTTTGAAAATATAGCGCTGCTTTTGACTTCAACGCTAGCACTGAAAAGGCAGGGCTACAGTTATTAATAGGAATGGGATTTTCTGATAATCTCGAAGTCAAGCTTATCAGCACGGAATTATTTTCTAATTTCCAACTCGCTCATTAATCTCAGCAAGAAGCGAGTTTTCTCCCCCACTCCCTCCCCCAGTTCCATTAAAAATATGATGAACTCTTGCATAATTATCTGCATAATACTCATACGATATGCATATACCCTTCAGGTTTCCTAAGGTAAGCAGGACATAGGCAGATGCATTCAAAATGCATATATAAAAATGTGTATGAATTAACATACTACAGAAATTTATTAACTCTCTAATACATTGACTCTAAATATGTATTCTACATCTGTGTATAATTTTTGCAAATAATTAGACAGGCTTTTTTTATGAAAAAGCGTCCTCATCTGACAGATCCGTGGTTCAGATCGCAGCGTCAAAACAGCGAAATGGTAAAACTAATTAAAGATCATGCGCTAATTGTTGCAAGGAAGGCTGCCGAAATAAGGCGAGGCAGCTGGGAAGAAGAAGCATCGTTTGACATCTGCCAAATGGTGATAAAGATGGGAAGAGATGTGTGGAGCAGCAGCACCCTTGAACAGGTGGCCAGGAACAGAAAGTCTGGCCTGTGAGAGAAAAGGACCCCAAAAACAGGACAAATCCACCAGTTTCTGTTCCTTTCCCTTCCTAATTTTTTTCCAGTCTGGGATTGGGTTCAGTTCTCCCCATTCCCCAAGTCAGCTTGCAATTCTTGCTTTCTTTTAAAGCAGGGTTCTGCAAACTTTTTCTGCAAACTGTCCCTCAGACCTTGTGGGGGCCGGACTATATTTTGAAAAATATAAATACAGTGGTACCTCAGGTTAAGTACTTAATTCGTTCCGGAGGTTCGTACTTAACCTGAAACTGTTCTTAACCTGAAGCACCACTTTAGCCTATGGGGCCTCCTGCTGCTGCCACGCCACCGGAGCCCGATTTCTGTTCTCATCCTGAAGCAAAGTTCTTAACCTGAAGCACTATTTCTGGGTTAGCAGAGTCTGTAACCTGAAGCGTATGTAACCTGAAGCATATGTAACCTGAGGTACCACTGTACCCTGCAAGCCGGTCCCACAGCTGCCTCTGGACTTGGAGGAGGAACGCACTCTGCACGCGCTCAGGAGACCTCTCGGTGCCGCCCGCTCACTGGCGTTGTTGACGAGCGGCAGCCGCTCCATCAGCCCATCCCACAGAGCTCCCTGGCGGCGTGCACCATGCGCTGTGGCCTGTCGTCCAAGGCCAGGTCAGTGGGTAGGCCGCGCACGTGGAGCGCCGGGCAGGCGGCGCGCAGCTCGCCCTCCAGCTGCTCCAGTGCGACCACCGAGCGCGCCACCATGGCGCGGCCCAGACCCGCTGCCAACCCTCTGGCCTCTCTGTCCATGGCCACACTGGGTTTACCTCAGCAATGAGGCTTCAGATTGGTTGCAGGAACTTCCTGCAGCCCATCCAAAGCCGTGCCAGCATCTCTGCCCACATAGAAGCCGTGCCAGCGTCGCAGAAGTCAGTCCCCACGTGGTGAGGCGCCCGCAGCGTACGGGGTCTGACCGAGCGGACAGCAGGGTCCACAGGCCGGATTTACGAGGCTGGGGGGCGCATCAGGGCCCCTAGGCCTTAGTTTGCCAACCCCTGTTTTAAAGCCCTTTTGAAAATCCACCAGCATTGTAGTGGAACATAGCTGTCAACTTACAGATTTGAAAATAAGGGACCAGCAGCCTCAAAAATAAGGGATCAGCAGCCAAAATAAGGGATTTTGCTTAGCTTATACAGAAATCTGCCACTGATGGAGCCATGCTGCTTTTGCTGCAACTGACTGTGTTTTGCAGGGAGTTGGACTACATGATCCTAAGGGTCTACAACTCCGACCAAAGAAGAGTGGCAGGCAAAACTGATGAACGACATCGAGATGGCAAAGCTTACAGGCAGAATTAGAAACCAGGAAGATGACCTCTTTAATAAAGAATGGGGAAAGGTTATAATTTATTTGAAAAGCTATTGTAAAGAGTTACATACATTGGTAGGATTGACAGAAAACTTGTAGTAAAAATTTGAACTATGGATGGACAAATGATTTATAAAAATAGAGTTATGAAAGGGATGCAGAGGGGGAAATCACTACATTAAGATGCTGCACTGGTTGGAGGGTATGCTAAGCAGCACGTTGGGGCTGTTGTCGTCCTGGCGCGAGGAGTTCCATCGGCCCTTCCTCACCCGAGAGAGAGGGAGGGAGGAAGAGAGACTCTCGACCACGCCTCCCGTGAGCCCGGCATGTGGCGGTTGCAGCGCGGCCGCTGAAGCGCCGCCCTTCTGCGTCCCTCCCCATCCCCTCCTCTTCCTCCTCCCTCAGGCCGCCTCCTCAGCCGCCACCGCCGCTGCCGCCTCCGGCTTCCCCTGGCAGCACGGCGGAGAGGGGCTGCCCGCCCGCCCGCCGCTACCCGTCTCCTCACGACGTGCCCCTGAGGGGGGAAAGGAAAAGACGGAGATGCAGCAGCTCATGCGCGCGCTCTCTCAGGTGGATGACCCTGAGCCGCTGCTTCCCTCCCAAGCCGGGTGAGCATAAAACCTGGGAAATTTAAGGGACATCATCAATCCGGGACAGCAGCGGGACACGGCACTGGGATAAGGGAGTTTCCCGCCAAATAAGGGACGGTTGACAGCTATGTAGTGGAAGGCAGAGAGTTGAAAAGCTCCTTTTGCACAGCCCCTGACCCGGAAAGAGCTTATAAGCTCTTTGCCTCGCTTACTGGGCTCTGGGAGCCTCTCACAACATTTCGCAAGATTGTGGCTGACCCAACAAAATCTCATGAGTGGGGATGCAGGATCGTGGGCCTGAACTGGACAGTTTGTGCATCTTGAGGTCAAAATAGAGGTCCGGGAGTCCACGCAGTGTCTGCGCAGTCCCCGTATTGCTGCAGCGCTGCCCTGCCGCCACCAGATGGCGCCTTTAGCCAACGCGCTGGAGTTTGTCATATCCATAATCCATGTCAGGGAATCTATTAAATTATTAGTGGAAGTTACAAATTTATGGGGGAAGCAAACCTTGCCGAGGTGAGCAGAGCCCGAAGACTGATGCAGAGTAAATCACCTGCCGTAATAGGTTTGGACGTTAACAAGCAACAGCTTCCATTATTCATGAGGATGCAAAAGCAGAAACAAAGCTAAACCCGTTTAAATCATTTAATAACCCTTACAGGGAGGGATTTTTTTAAAGCTCCTTGAGATAATGGGTCTCTCAGAGTCCAGGGGGGACTCATTCTGCTGGAGCCCAACCTGTCTGCTAGTCGGAGGTGTGATGGGGGCAAAGCGTACATTGCAAAACCGATCCCCCCCCCTCTAAAACAGGGGTCAGCAACCTTTTTCAGCCATGGGCCGGTCCACTGCCCCTCAGACCATGTGGTGGGCTGGAATTTTTTTTGGGGGGGGGGGAAATGAATGAATTCCTATGCCCCACAAATAACCCAGAGATGCATTTTAAATAAAAGCACACATTCTACTCATGTAAAAACACCAGGCAGGCCCAACAAATAACCCAGAGATGCATTTTATATAAACGCACACATCCTTTGTTGTTGTTTAGTCGTTTAGTTGTGTCCGACTCTTCGTGACCCCCTGGACCAGAGCACACCAGGCACTCCTGTCTTCCACTGCCTCCCGCAGTTTGATCAAACTCATGTTCATAGCATTGAGAAGACTGTCCAACCATCTCGTCCTCTGTCATCCCCTTCTCCTTGTGCCCTCCATCTTTCCCAACATCAGGGTCTTTTCCAGGGAGTCTTCTCTTCTCATGAGGTGGCCAAAGTATTGGAGCCTCAGCTTCAGGATCTGTCCTTCCAGTGAGCACTCAGGGCTGATTTCCTTCAGAATGGATAGGTTTGATCTTCTTGCAGTCCATGGGACTCTCAAGAGTCTCCTCCAGCACCATCATTCAAAAGCATCAATTCTTCGGCAATCAGCCTTCTTTGTGGCCTTCTTTCCAGCTCTCACTTCCATACATCACTACTGGGCACACATTCTACTCATGTAAAAACACGCTGATTCCCAGACCGTCCGTGGGCCGGATTGAGAAGGCGATTGGGCCGCATCCAGCCCCTGGGCCTTAGGTTGCCTACCCCTGCTCTAAAGCTATCAGATGCAAAAGGACTGGGCTTGCAACGCTTGACGCTGCTGCCTTCTACAGAGTCAGACCCCTGACCCAGAGAGCTTGGCATTGCCAGCACTGGCCGGCAGCGACCCTGCAGGGATTCTTCCCCATCTGTCCCTGGAGATGTATGGGATTGGACCTGGGACCTTCTGCATGCAAAGCATGTGTCCCTGTACGTCTGACTGGGGAAGGAGCTGATATAGAGTTGGGGGGTGGGGCCCCAAACCCCCCTCAATGCAACAAAGCCTTAGCAGGAGGCTGCTTAACCTCGGAGATCTCTTGTTTCTCAGTGAACCTCTTTGGGTTGCAACCTCCAGTTCATGGTCTCAGAAAGCAATTGATTGTTGGGCGCCTCTCCTCCTGCCAGGTTAGGTTTTGTGATCTGTGTGGGGTGAGGCCTCCTCTGTGCTCCCCCCCCCCCCCAGTCTGAGACAAGGCTGTCTCTCTCAGTGATCGGTTTTCAGGCATCTCGTGACATCTGTGTCCACACAGGCATTTGGGAGAGGTCTGAACGGAACGGTTTGCATTGGTGCAACCAATGTGCTTTTTAAAAAAGGCAAAGGGCCCCTGACCATTAAGTCCAGTTGTGAATGACTCTGGGGTTGCGGCACTCATCTCGCTTTACTGGCCGAGGGAGCCGACGTTTATCTGCAGTTTTTCTGGGTCATGTGGCCAGCATAACTAATCCGCTTCTGGCAAAACCAGAGGAGTGCACAGAAATGCCGTTTACCTTCCTGCCGGAGTGGTACCTATTTATCTACTTGCACTTTTACGTGCTTTTGAATTGCTAGGTTGGCAGGAGCACGGACTGAGCAACGTGAGCTCACCCCGTCACGGGGATTCAAACCGCCGCCCTTCCAATGTGGTGTAGTGGTTAAGAGCGATAGACTCGTAATCTGGTAAACCGGGTTCGGGTCTCCGCTCCTCCACATGCAGCTGCTGGGTGACCTTGGGCTAGTCACACTTCTCTGAAGTCTCTCAGCCCCACTCACCTCACAGTGTGTTTGTTGTGGGGGAGTAAGGGAAAAGGAGAATGTTAGCCGCTTTGAGACTCCTTAGGGTAGTGATAAAGCGGGATATCAAATACAAACTCCTCTTCTTCTTCCGATCGGCAAGCCCAAGCGGCTCAGTGGTTTAGACCACAGCGCCACCCACGTGCTTTTGTTGTGCTGTTTAGCAAATTTAGTTGTGTCTGACTCTTCGTGACCCCATGGACCAGAGCATGCCAGGCACTCCTGTCTTTCACTGCCTCCTGCAGTTTGGTCAAACTCATGCTGGTAGCTTCGAGAACACTATCCAACCATCTCGTCCTCTGTCATCCTCTTCTCCTTGTGCCCTCCATCTTTCCCAGCATCAGGGTCTTTTCCAGGGAGTCTTCTCTTCTCATGAGGTGGCCAAAGTATTGGAGCCTCAGCTTCAGAATCTGTCCTTCCAGTGAGCACTCAGGGCTGATTTCCTTCAGAATGGAGAGGTTCGATCTTCTTGCAGTCCATGGGACTCTCAAGAGTCTCCTCCAGCACCATAATTCAAAAGCATCCATTCTTCGGCGATCAGCCTTCTTTATGGTCCAGCTCTCACTTCCATACATCACTACTGGGAAAACCATAGCTTTAACTATACAGACCTTTGTTGGCAAGGTGATGTCTCTGCTTTTTAAGATGCTGTCTAGGTTTGTCATCGCTTTTCTCCCAAGAAGCAGGCGTCTTTTAATTTCGTGACTGCTGTCACCATCTGCAGTGATCATGGAGCCCAAGAAAGTAAAATCTCTCACTGCCTCCATTTCTTCCCCTTCTATTTGCCAGGAGGTGATGGGTTTTACTGGTGTTCAAATCCTTTGTTTCGTGGTTAAGCACGTAAGAAGAGCCTGCCGGATCAGGCCCATCCAGTCCAGCATCCTGTTCTCACAGCGGCCACCCAGATGCCTCTTCTGGGAAACCCTTTCCTTTCCTGTCCCGAATCTTCCAACTTTCATCTTTGCAGGAGGTCTAGAAGTGAAGCTCAGTGGCTGTATTACTTGTGTTCACTGCCCCGGGATCCTACAGGATGAGGAAGGGGACAGTTTTTGAATGAGAAATAAAATAAATAAAAGCAAGAAGCTTTTATCATAACCTCTCTGTTAGCTCTGGTTTCCTAAACCCCAAATGGACTCTGAAGGGATTTACCGTATTTTTCGCTCTATAAGACGCACCAGACCACAA